CACACACACACACACACACACACACACACACACACACACACACACACACACACACACACACACTCAGTCAAGACCAGTAGTCTGTATGATGACCAAAGACCAGTCCTAATATGGTGGAACTCCATTTTGGGTTTAGTTCAGGACTAGTGTGTTAATTAAGTTTAAGATAGTTTTAGGGTAAGGGTTGTACTGGGGGTAGGTTTAGGAGAATGGGTCATGGTTAGGCTATGGAAAAGACTGGAAATGAATGGAAGTCGGTGAACGGTCTTAGATAGAAATACAAAAATGTGTGTGCTTGTGTGTGTGTGTGTGTGTGTGTGTGTCTCTTACATATAAGTTAGTAAGGCCTCTGAAGTCGTTCTCCTTTAGCTCACTGATGCGGTTGTTCTGCAGGTCCAGGAACTTAGTGTCTGGAGGAATATTCTTTGGCACCTCTGTCAAACCTTCAAACAAGACCAACAAAAACACAGAAGGGAGTCATCACCTATTAAATGCTTCCTTGGGTGACTGTCATCCAACACCATAAAACCAGTTTGTTTTCAAAAGGTAAGCTCTTAGGAAGTCTCAATCAAACACAGACTTTAGAAAATAAATAGCCACACCAATCGCACTCCACTGCCAGTCCTAAATTAGTACTTTGGTGCTACTGAGCTATTATTTTAATGGATGGTGGACATGAACTCAAACATGGAGGTCACACGCAGACATCACAGTAGCATGAGTGAACACAAATTTCTCTTGCAACAGATGGGACAGCCAGATTTTTCCATCTGGCTTTTATTGACAAAAGACACCCAGGATGGGACTTAAATACCATCAGCAAGTCACACATCAAAGGGAGGAAGAGATGGGTGCAACTCTGGCACTTATAAAAAAGTACAAGCTGTCTGTTTTAATGTGTGAGTGGTAAAGCAGTGTTGCATTGAGAATAATGGCTTAATTTGGACCAAAAACAGTCCCTAAAAGGTGGACAAACCAGAAGCAGTAACCTCCGTTTACTTTGAAACATTGTTCATTGAGTTAAATAAATTCATGCATGSTAGCAAAAGACTAAAAGTAGTTGGTGGTCAAATGGAATTCAGAAATGCACCTGCCCTATTACAAAGAAATGACAATCCGCACGCAAACACAACAATCAACCAGTGATCATTAAGTAGACCACGTCACACAGCCACGTGGACGAGTGTCTCAGATGTGGTCGGAAGATGTGTAAGTGGGTACCGACCAGGACAAGCCTCATCTGCTTCAAGGYCATGATGCAACCAGACCCACTGGTGAGAGCTCAGCAGCCGTCCCACTGGTGTGTTTTAAGTCAACCACCAACCACATCTGACCCACCRGACTCTGCCCAGAACTGTCCAGCTTCAGTTTAACTTTAGAAATATGGCTTTGGTGGTGGTGTGCCACACCCTCTGTGTCACCACACAGCACCAAACCATCAGCTGCTCTCTCGCTGGCACTCTATTCAAACCACACCCACGCAATACTGAGAGAGCAGTGGCTTTATCCTGGAAATGATCAAGGCTTCTGAGAGCAAATTAAATCCTTAAAGTGGAGGAGAACGATGGCTGCCATAGTCCTGTCTGGAACTAAATGGGAAATGAATCCCCTAAAGAGATGCTTGGATTTAATGTAGAAAAGCATGACTTTCTGGACTTCAGCTGAATGCCTCTTCTGGATTTGCAAGGAGAACAAAAACAGCAATCATGTTCACCAAACCCTAGCTCAGTTCTTTTTAATAACTGCAGCTAAAGTAGCTCATAATATGTAGGAAAAAGCAAAAGAAAAAATCCTAGAAAACTGTGAAACTGTGACATTTTAGTGTCGTGTCGTTTGGACAAGCGATGTTCATGAAAAGTTGCATGTAGATCCAGCTCAAGCCACCGGACACATGCAAACTTTGTCACCCGGTAAATCTGATGCTGTGATCCAATATGTGAGCTGGTTTGCACAGGGCGGGCGCTAGCCAATTCGGTGTCCTAGGCAAGATTTYAAGCGGTGCCCCTTGTACAATTTTCTGAATCTCACAGATAATTTAAATACATTCACACACCAAACTAAATAATTTTATTTTTGCTATTATATTTTATCTTTAGAAACCAGGTTGTCTGATTAAATATAATAAATTTGAAACAGAATACCAGAAGATTACGTCATACCTGCCAACATCTGCTGACAGCGATGAGTGAGGCACACCTGTTCATGTTAATGAGATTAACTTCCATTATCCTTATTTTGTTTTCTATATTCACACAGATCTCCAGTAATTAGTCTTGACTGCATCATATGATACTTTTATCACAAAATATCCTCTGCGTCATATAACGTCTCATGTAGTAACAAAACAGGCTGAGAAACCCGCAGAACAATTTGCATTCATAAATTGGAGTAACCAGTGTTTATTCTACAGACTAAATCAACTACACTCTAATATAAAGTTTAATTTTTTTCATCCCCATTTGTGGTGCCCCCTAGATGAACAGCACCCTTAGACTTTGCCTGTACTGCCTATGCCATGGGCTGCTCCTGGGTGCAGAGTTGTAAAGTAACTAAGTACAAATACTTTGTTACTGTACTTAAGTAGAAATTTTGGTTACCTGTACTTTATTTGAGTAATTATTTTTCAACACAATTTTTATCTTTACTCAGTAGATTTTTACACAATTATCTGTACTTTCTACTCACTACATTTTAAAAAAAAAAAAAGGTAAGAAGTAGAAAGTTGTTACTCCTATTTTATTCCAAGTGGTTATTACTAAGTACAAATACTTTGTTACTGTACTTAAGTAGAAATTTTGGTTACCTGTACTTTATTTGAGTAATTATTTTTCAACACAATTTTTATCTTTACTCAGTAGATTTTTACACAATTATCTGTACTTTCTACTCACTACATTTAAAAAAAAAAAGGTAAGAAGTAGAAAGTTGTTACTCCTATTTTATTCCAAGTGGTTATTACTAAAAAAATACTATCCTGAAAAATTGTGTCTCCTGAATAGAGTGRATTTAATTGTGGTTGGATGAGAAGAATAAATATATACCATTCTGACACCCTATTAGCTTGTACACAATCCATCACAGCTGCACGCCATTAGAAACATATTTTTTGGAGAAGTCACCTCCCAATAAATGTCATTTTGGAAAATCTGACTGCTTACTTTTACTCAGTACTTTTACTTTTAATACTTAAGTAGATTTTGTGTCAGAAATTTACTTTTGATACTTAAGTACAAAAAATATCATATACTTTAAAACTTTTACTCAAGTAAAATTTTAGAGAAGACTAACTTTTACAAAAGTATTTTTATGATAAGATACTTGTACTTTTACTGAAGTATCACTTTGAGGTACTTTATACAACACTGCCTGGGTGTGCTTGTTTTACTGGTAAGCTTGATTCTCTCAAACCTGTCTTGTTTCTTTATGATTTACTTGTCTTAAAAAAGGAGCGAGCGTTTAGAAAGTTATGCCTACAAATTTTAAGCTAGTAACCTACAAATTCATATGGTACACCTGCACTATATTTTGCAGACATAAACACACTTGACAAAAATGGGGGGGGACTCCCCAAGACCATCGATTAAGTAATTAATTTAACCCTCAAAACCCACAAAACACCATTTTTTTACCCATATCTGCCACAAATCTCAGCACCTCAGACACAAAGTGACAGTACCAGCACCCAATAAAACCCCCAGCTACCCTCAACACAAGCGCTCTACATCATGCTGGGATGTGCGCTGAGAGGAGACAGACGCCACCACCAAAATACATCTGTTCAAAATAAGCACTTGACATCYCGGAAATTATACGCTTCCACATTTACCTCACTGCCGAAAGACTGAGGACAGTAAATACATGGAGCTTGTAAAATGATGATTTGACAAAACCATTATGTCTAAACACAGACATCTTGTAGGAGTTTTATGGCAAGTGGACTGGGGTAACTCTTCAGATCCATAAAGAACAGAAAATTTAGTAGTTTGGTCCTTTGAGATGAGACAAAGACAGCCCTTTATWAGGATTTTAAGTTTCTCTTTTTAAGAGTTTTGAATGGGTATGTGCTGGTCCTGCTCATTTTTTGTCACATTTGACCAATTTTTATTTACAAAAAGGTCATCATGGCAATGAATAATCTTTCATGTTGATCTCAACGCTTTCTTTTAGTAAAAATCACTATTTTATTTGTTTCGTTAGCCCACCTACTCTACCACACACTTTTTTGCCAATTGTTTTTTCTTTCATGTTTCAATGTTACACAGGTCCCTAAAAATATTAATAAAAAGTTCCTCTGAAGACAATCTTCCTGTCTAAAATGACTATTTTTGTGCATAAATATTGTTTCTCCCCCCGCCCTCTCCCACCTCTTTCATTTCTTGCTCCATCTGTCCCACTTTTTCTCCATATTGCATTTTCCCCCTCCCCTCTCCAGTCTTCTCCCACTCAGTAAGTACATACAAAGTCAAGAACACCAAATCCCTCAAAGAGATGCCTTTCCTTGTCATAATACACCAGTTTTGCCCCAGGAGAAAACTTCCCTTTCTCTAGATAACGTAGCTAAATGAAAAGAGGGGGGCTTTCTTTTTTGAGGTTGTGAGGCCCGAGACCCTTGGGCCATGTCCAGCCATTGAAGGAATTTATTTTCTATGTCTGATCCTCACACACCACAGGTTGATAAAGCAGCCCTCAAACCATTGCTTTGTTTTCTTCGCACGCACTCGCACTAACCGAGGTCAGAGCACTGAACGATCCGGAGCTGGCAGTGGCAGCCGAAGGGACACATGGGCACGTCGGGAGTGGGAAGCTCTCCGCTGCCCGAGATCTCTTCCTCGTCCCTCATCATGGCCATCAAGCCGCCGTTCTCCAAACTGTCCAGAGCAAAGTCCCAAAAGCCTCTTTGTTCAAAGGGCAGAGCAGAGGAGGGCGAGACCAGCCGTGTCACGCACAGCAGCAGAAGGGAGCAATGTAGCGACATGTTGGATGTAAACACCTGGGAAAACACAAAGCAGAGAGAGAGAGACACATTTTAGTGCATTTGAATATTCATGTGCTTCAATTAATCCATTATGTTGCCAAAGGCTAAGTTATCTGACTTATTTTAAGTTCACAGCATACAAAGCGAGCACGAGTGAGCAACAGTAAAAGGTTTGGCTCTATAAATGTGCAGAGAATTAAAAGAAATCCAAAGAAAACAGCATACAGATATCTGGATAATAGTTAGCCAACAGCTTTGAGTCACAAACCTTGAAAGCCAAGTTTAGAAATAGCAACGGGAGTTTTTTTTCCTTCTTCTTCTTTTTTTTTTTTTTTTGCATCTAAATGTGCTCAGTTATAATATTTGTGTTGCACATATGAATAACAAAAAAACTGGAGCTTATACATTTACACCAGCAGATATGTTGCAGTGTTACAGTCAAGTATCTGCAAACACTTTGACCCAGTATCTCCAAACTTTGCTATTCCTGCCATGGCTATGTAGTCAGTGTTAGTGGTCAAAAAATATTATGAAATGGTCTGCCTATCCCTAATTACAAGGCCCTACTGTTTATACCACACCTAACTGGGAGGTTGGTGAGGAGAAATGCACTCATTCCCTCGTCACACTTACTAGAAAATGACCCRTTTGAACCACAGCAAAATGTCACTGTCTGCCACCTCCACCCCTGAATTCCCATGAGGCCGAGTCCCGCTTAGCCGGCCAATCAGATAGCAAGGAAGACATCACCTGTATGTTGGAAAAGTTTATAACGGCAAACAGGCTTTGCAACAAAGTCACCATTCACTTGCAGGGGAAATGGACTGTGGAAGTGTTTGTCATGAAGCACAGTCTCCATGATGTCACAGTGTTGGACACGCACACGCACACACACACACACACACACACACACACACACACACACACNCACTCACTAATCAAGGTAGCCAGACATGAGAGCTGGTGTTTGCCAGTTTTATCCTCGCTGCCCTGACCTGACCCACACATGAGCGCCATCAACCTTACCGCTCAAATTAAAAACTAATTCCTAGAGAAGTGAATCATTACCAGGCCGGCCGACTTGACGGTGTGACCCTCAGGGCTAATCTTGTAAAGCAAAACCCACTCCCATATGAGACCAAGGGGTGACCTAAAACCTTCTAATCTCTAACCATGTTCCTGTAATTCCTCCTCCAATCCCCAGGACTGTAATTTGACTGAGTAATGGAAAGTCCTAATGCTCATGGTTAGAGCAGAACTTCAGTGAAGTTTAGAAGTTGTGCAGTGAAATGATAAGCTCTTTGACTGAAGTTGAATTTGACCTCCTACATCATCAAGGCTAAGTGGGAAGTGATGACGGATGAGAAAGAAGGAGGAGGCAAGAAGATTCAGAAAGACTTCACGACATTTACTGCTAGATGTTCTAACGAAAAAACGTTCTTTTTAGGAGTTTATTGTSCATTAGCTCTGTTTAACTATCATCCAAAGCCTTGCCTAATCTTTGCATGGTTTTCCAAAGAAAACCATGATTATAATYGAGATACTCAAGGAAACCCCAGTTCACCATATTCATAGCCTCATTTGAACTCCATTTCAGTAGAAATGATCCATGTGGATTTGCTTATTTTAGCCTCTTACATTGTGGTTAAAAGCTGCTTATGCAACCTTCTGCAACAGTTTTTTTTTTTTATTAGTGAAATGGTGCTATTATTTCAGAGCATTAAAAGGCAGTGAAAGAAACAGCTTGTGCATGATGTGGAGCTGGCCTAGAAGCGTGAATAACTGGTCCCTGCAGTCTGCTCCTTGCAACATAAATATAGCTGCCAAATTATACCATTTTGCAAAAAAAGAGAAAAAAATAAACACCACTGGCCTTGGCTTGACCAGAAGAATGCAGGCTGAAGGACACAGAAACACACGCAAAAACAAAGAGCTAGATTCTGTTTAGAATGCTACGCAGCGCTGTTTGTTTGTTTTTGTTTTTTTACTCCGCAATTTTTGAAGTTCATCTTTTGATAAGTATTCACCAGAAATCTGGCACCACCAGTGCCCTCATTTGTGGAGCAGTTTATGTCCTCACTGTACAGAGATGAGATCCCCAATATAAAATTTAAAAAGTGCTGATGGAGGTGAGAAAATAGTGACAGGAACCATCATCAGCACAACCGACGTAAGGCTACTCTCAAGACAACACGGCGATAAGACTAAACTACATCCCACAATCAGACAGCGTTTCTAGCTCTGATAACCATTTTTATCAGCCTCCAGTGTTTTCACATGAATTCCTCCTCTCTCCCTCCAGCTGAACTGCGAGCTGTCAAACATCCTGGGCTGAGACGAAAACAAACCAAAACGCTGCAATCTTAATTGCTGTTGCTTCGGCTCTCCTCCCACCCAAAGGCCCAAAGAGTGGTTTAATGGACGGATGGAAGGAAGGATGGATAAATGGGCTGCTATTTCTGCCCTAGCTATAATGTGCGGTGCTGTGAAGTGTGTGTCTGTGTGTTCGAAGGGGTGGGAGCGTGAGAGAATGGAATATACAAAAAAAATCTAACAGAGCACAGAATGACAGCGTTAAAGCAGAGGAAAAAAGAAGTGGGAGTTGTGTCAGCAGTGGTCAAATGGATGTAAAATATGACAGCTGTTAGAGTAGTACTCTGTGAGCTGAAATATATGACCAAAACACAATGGAAATCTTTGTGTGAGTCTTCACACTTTGTCTTTTCAAGCTTTATAGTAATCCAGGCCTTCAGTGTACGTATATTGTATGCAGGAAAGTCTTGAATTTTCAAATAAATTWAAAAAAAACAGCATTAATGCTTGCCTTAATGTTAATAGTTTGGGCAGCGCAGTGGCTCAGTGGTTAGTTCTGATGCATCACAGCAGGAAGGACCTGGGRTATTTCTGTGCAGTTTTCATGTTCTACTTGTGCTTGGGTGGGTTTTCTTCAGGTATTCCGGTTTCCCCCACAGTAGATTACATAGATTACCTTCATGCCCAGGTCTCCTTTGCAAAAGAGATCTGTGATCTCAAAGGATTTTGCCTGGTTAAATAAAAGGTTCATAAAAAAATTTAAATAACAAACTTCACTGAAATGCTTCCATGTATTCCTGATTTTAGGTATGTTGCTGTTGAGTCCTGACAATTAACTAAGCATTCACTCAAGCTGAGGCTTTTTGGTCATTTTAAGTAATTGTCTTTTTTCTTTAGTGAAAAACATAAGTCAAGCCTATGATGGCGTATTAGAGCCATTTTGCAGATTATAAAAGGAGTACATTTCTGTGAAATAAAATCAGAAAATTTTAGATGAATTAAAAAAAATTCAAGAAAAATATTCTCTGCCCTCAAAAGGTCATAAATTTGCAAGACAAAAATTGGACATTTCCACAATCAAAGGCAAAATGTTTCACACTAAATATTTTCTGACATTGTAAAGTCTGAAATCTGCAAGGAAGAAATAGCTGAAGTTTTCACAAAGCTATAAGTTGGTTTCTGATTGRAACATCAGAGTCTAGAAATGGCTAAAGAGCAATTCCACCTTACTGTTATTATCAACTCTTTAATTGCAGTAGTTTAAAAACTAAAATACGTAGACACTTCAAAACTGAACCAGAATATTTTTGCCCTTGTAAGGATAGACATTTCTATAAGACGTTTCTTGCAAATTTACAGCGTTTTTTGACAGAAATTTGCTCCTTTTGTTTTATTTTACTTTTTTTGTTTATGCTGTTGTACAAGTTTATATATACATACTTTTTTTAAATTAGCTGCCAAAGGTTATTTCAATGCACTACAATATGATGCAATACAATAGATGACAGTGAAATATGATGCAATGCAATTTGATGTGATAGAATTGGAGACAATGAGACACAACATGATGCAATACAATAAAACACAATTATGATGTGTCATATGATATGATATGATATGATATGATATGATATGATATGATATGATATGATATGATATGATATGATATGATATGATATGATATGATATGATATAACATCCCCACATAGCAGACAGGTATGGGCCACATCTGGTGTCAGGCTGGCACTTCTGGCTGACTGCTTTTATGGCAAGTAGTTTGTCAACCAGATGTGGGCCAGGTCTGGCAATGATGACACTGTTTTTAAGGTAGCATGCCACAACTRGCTTAGTAGTGGTTTGGTTTATGGGGTGCTGACATACAAGGACCACCTCTGACAAAATACATTCTTTGTGGCATCTAGGCCAAGCGTTAGAGTGTTAGTGTCATGTGTGGGCCAGAGCTGGGCCAGACAAATTTTAGTTTATGGGTAATATGATAAGACATGATGCAAAATGATATCAAAATATTTTTAGAAATACATTAATTAAATGTGTTCTAAGGGAACACATACCACAAAACATATATTTAAGTGTCCAAACTTCCTTAGTTTATTGTTGTACACAATGATGTATTATGTATTATATGGGTCTTTATAGTATTTTGGCCTGTACCCAGTAAGTGAAAAAAAATAGATTAACAGAGAAGAAACCTGCTTTATCTTAACCCACTACTTCCTTTCAGGGTCAAAGTGGTCACTGGTGCCCATATCCAGCAGCCACTGTGCAAGGGGTGAGATATTGGACAGGTTGTAAGTCCATCACAGGGGTGCATACAAACAAACACTCACACTATAGGGACAATTTAGATTTACCAATTAGCCTATCAGTCATGTTTCTGCTCTGTGGGAGGAAACCGGAGTACCTGGAGAAAACCAGGCATGCACCAAGAGAACATGCAAACTGATGTGATTCAATCCGACAACCTTCTTGCTGAGAGGAAACAGTTCTACCAAGTGAGCCACTGTGCCGCCTTAGAGAATACCCGACAAATGGAAAAAGAATAAGAGAGAATTCAGGCGTGGATGAATTGATAGATCTTGACTGTGAAAACACAATGATGCCTGGGAAGGCACCATTAAAAATAATCCTCTTTCAAGTGTTTGAATTCTTCACACTCAGTGTCTATAATTAGCTTTGCATTT